ATAGATAGATAGATAGATAGATAGATAGATAGATAGATAGATAGATATCTCGGCCACGCCCACTTCTCTGCTTCAGAGCAGAGATATGACAAGCTGCAGGAGGAAGCTTCTGCATCTCTGGGCTGCACAAATGTGCTAAATAATTTATTTAAGATAAAAACTCCATGCCTATCGTGCGGCTCATCCATCAATCAGCCAATTGTGCCATGTCCAATCTTACTTTGAAAAACCGCGATAGACCGAGTCCGTGAAAAACAAACCATGAAGTACCGAGGGACTACTGTAGTGTTTTGCTTTACTTGCTGTAAATTTTGAAGGCTGTTGCTGTTTTAAAGTGACAATAATCTAGTTTGGCTGCACTGACCAATAGCTCCACTGTCCTGTCAAAATGAAACTCTGAAATGGAGGTCAACAACAAGTAAGATAGTACTATTCATAACTTTTCCACAAACTAACAACTCTTTAGGTTTTTCTTTCTGACAGCTCTGGTGTTGTTTTGTAAAAAATAAATATGATAAAATGCAACTTTATTTAAAAGCACTTTTAAAAACGCAACTGGCCAAAGTGCTGTGGACTAAAAAATTAGAGTAAAACGCAATAATTCAAATACAATTTCAAAACAAGAATTATTATTGTTTTTTTTTTAAAGGAAGAAGCAGGTGAAGATAATGGGTGTATGGATGGATGTCAAATTTATTTGAAAGCCAAAGATAAAATTGGAATTAAAAACTGGAAGAGAGTCGACCTTCCTAATGTGCAAAGGCAGCTCATTCTACAGTTTAGTGGCTGGAAACACCCTGTCACCTCTCAACCTTCTGTTTATCCTTGGGTTAGAAAATTAATTAAATTTTAATTAACACAGTTTTATGGCAGTGTGCTGGTTTTGCTGTTTAACTGCATATAAATCAGAGGCCACAGTAACTCGGAATCCATCATCAGTCTTGTGATCACGACACTTCAAGTTCGAGCCCAGTTTGCTTCAGTAACGTCATCCAGCATAAAACACATGTAAATCAATTGTCAAAAGTGAAGATTCAACACAATCCTTGGTTAGACAGATAACTTTTACTAATCGACTTTTATAATGGTGGCTCAGTTGGTAGAATTGTTGCCTCTCAGTGAGAAGGTCACTGGATTGAATCTCAACTGGGGACTTTTCTGGGTGGAGTTTGAATGTTCTCTCCGTGCATGCATGGGTTTCTTCCGGGTACTTCGGTTTCCTCTCACAGACCAAAAACATGTGTTAAGCTGATTGGTAACTCTAAATTGTCCCTAGGTGTGTGAGAGAGTGAATGGTTGGTTGTCTCCATTGTCTCCATGTGGGCCTGTGATGGACTGGAGACCTGTCCAGGATGTCCCCCGTCTTTTGCACAGTGACTGCTTGATATGGGCACCAGTGACACCCATAACCGGAAAAGGGAGAAGCAGGTAAAATATAATGAATGAAAGGATGGCTTTTATAATGTATGTGAATGTTTTTTGTACAGTGCCCAAGATCACTTCTATTTTAAATTGGGGCCATATAAATAAACAGAACTGCATTGAATTCTACTGTGTTCCCTGTTGCGAAAGAAAGAAAGGGCAGATAGAGTTGACTGTCATCAGCATAAAAATGGAAAGTTACACCATGTTTCCTGAGAACAGATAAAAGAGGAAGCAAATACAGGGAGAAAAGTAGAGGACCAAGCATAGAGCCTTGTGACACACCACATGTAAGAGTAGCTACAGAGTACTCAATGGCTCCATCACAAACCCAAAAACTCCTCTTAAAAAATAGGATCTAAATCACTCTAGAGCAGCACACAATTTCCACCCATGTCTCCACGAGAGAGACAAGGGTCTGATGGTCCACTGTGTCGGAGGCAGCTGTTAGATACAGCAGCATCAAAACAACAAAGCGACCACAGTCAGTAGCTAAAAGAACACCGTTACCAACCCTCAACATTGCTGGCTCAATGTTGTGGCACATTTTAAAACCAGACTGAACAGTATGATTTAATAGTCTCAAAGAAAAGTTAATAGATGAGTAGATCTGAACTAAAAAAGGCAACTGTAAAAATAAAACAAGACTTGAAAAAGAAACATTTGCTAACTTTTCTTTCTACATTAAGTGCAATTTTTTAGGACAAAAAACACCAACACCAGTACTTGCCATTACTAAAAACCTTTACATAATGCTGTAAAATAAAAAAATAAAATTTTATTTATATATATGTTATGTCACATTTAAAACATCATCCCAAAGTTTCTTCAGGAACTTTCTAGTTTCAAAATATTATCCACTAAAATCTAACAAAGTACAGAAGAATGAACCATCTATGATGTCTAGGATCTGTTGAGGTTGTACTGATCCCAGTTTGTTTTGCTGGTCAGCATTTCCCTTTGTGGAGCAGTTTTATAATCTGAGCCTGTCACCAAAGAGACCAATCATTTTGGTGTGAGCTCCCAAGCTTCAAGGTGAAGGTTTTTTGTTTTATTCCTACAGTGGAAAGAAACAAGTCAACCTGTGTTATGTTTTTGTTGTTGTTGTTGTTTGTGCATATTTACATGTAAACTGTTGTGTTTCTCAATCTTGTTGCTGTTGAACGTCTTCATCATTACTGTTCCTCATATGGAGAGCCCAACATTGACACTACACCTTAAATCTCTCCATTTCTATTTCATCACTGCAGACTGGTGTGAAAAACAAGTTTATGTGCTTTAATGTTATTATTCTTGTATTTTATTATTGGTTCATAAGTGAATTTACAAGTGAAATGTACCTTTTGGTTTTGGTATCTAATAAATATTGTGTAAACCTTTAGTGTTATTGCATTTATTTACAGAGATATTCTTGGTATTTTTATTGGTGAGTACTAATATTTCATTTATTTATATTTTGCATACTTTAAGTATGGCTCTGAGTTGATTTAAATCCCCCTTCATACTGGACGACAGCTTTAAAATTCATCGAGAACATAGATAGTTTATGCAAGAACCAAAATCGTTCAGCCAATCTGAAGTACTGCTTGACATAAAAGTTTGAAATAATTATTGTAATTGTTGCTTGCTGTAAATACCTGTTGTAAAATGACTCAGTTTGGAGAAATGAGGTTTTATTCTGACAGGACAGCTGAGCTAATAGTCTGAACACAACCAAAACCAAATTGAACTGCTGATGTTTAAAAACACCAGTCTTCAAAGTTTCATAGTATTTCATTAAAACTCTATTTTACAGACCTTTGCCACTTCTGTAGCATTACAAAGTTTGCATTACATGTTTACTTTGAAAGGAACATAAAAAAATATCCTGGCAGAAGTGACCCCTAAATGCCTCAAGGGTTGCAACAGCTTACTACTGCTGGTGCTATTCAGACTTGAAAATAAATCACTGAATAAAGGTTAAATAACCGTGTAAAGCAGAACAGTGAACTATTTCTTTAGGAATGCAGTGGACTCCCCATCACCTGCGATAGATCAACCATGGTTTTATGTATGCTCAAAATTTTAATAGCAAGGTCATGGTGGTTTTATATAGTGGTGGAAGTGAGTCAGGGTCCATGGGGTGGGGTGCTCAGGACTAACTCACTTGTCCTAATGCTTGCTGTGTGATCATGACAGGATCATGAAATAACTTTGTGGTGGTAGAGTGGTGCTATGGTAACTTCATCTTTTAAGCTGAATCTGATGCAATCTGAGTGATGCCTGGATGGGGCCCAGGGCGTAGTGCAACTGTTGGCGTACAGTTTCTCGTGGGAATGAGCTGCAGGTGTACAGTGTAGGGTGAGGGCACAAGGTAGTATCTTGGAAATGCAAAAAATATCAGGAAAAAATAGCCTTTGTCCATCTCAGGTAGATTTATGTCTGACTTGTTTAAATGTTGATTAATGCACACTGTGTCTTTGTAGCTAAAGTTAAAAAATTGAGCACAGAGAATCTTCTGTAGCAGCATCATGACTGCCTGTAAGCTGAAGGAGTTTAAATGTAGATTTATTTTTCCAAATGTGCTCCAATCCAGCCACGGCAGTGGCACCTCCAGAAATGTACTAATGGGGCGGCCCTGTGGGCATTACTGAAAATCCTGGCGCAACAAAATTTAAAGCCAGAACAGAATTTTAATTATGCCATTCTTGTAAAAATAGAAACTTGAAAACTTTAGCTAAATGAGTTAATGAATTTCCAACGGATGGAGCTCAGTTTGTTATTTTACAACCAATATTTCTGACGTGATGTGCACAGTCCAGAACATATAACATTTCAAGTTCCACAACAATCCAGTTTTATTGTATTATGACATAGTCGTAATGCAATACATTATCCTTATATTAGGCTTTTTGCAATTTTCATTAAAAAAAATGTGATGCACATCTTTAATTTAATGGGGTAAATATTGACTAAAAACACATTTTCTGAGGTTTAAAATCACCACTTAATTATTTCTAAAATATCTTTATTTGCTGGTTGCTGTGCATGTTTGTGAAAACAAAAGGTTATAATAAATGTAAAAAACTCAATAATAAGACAAACAAAACATTTGCATTTATATTTATACAAACACATGCTGCATAAAACCTCGTGAGACCCTGTATCTTAATGTTGTGGACATTGTTTTAGATTGGTTGTCCTTATTGAAAGGGTCTAGATATTAAGTTACATTTTTAACTTTAAATAAAATATTTATTTAGACGTTTAACCTCTAATTTATCAAAATCAGTGTTAGCGTTTACAATTATGAGGTTCTACTATTCAAAGCTTGAGACTCTAGAGCAGTGGAGATTTTAGCCTCTGTTTGGGGGTTCTCAAGCATCCCTAAATTTGAACTCAGCACCCCTGCCAGACCCCCTGGCAGCAGTGGTACTGGCATGTTGTAACAGTTATTTATCACATGAACCTTTTACAAGTTTTACAGGTTTTACCAGTGTGTGCCACCAATAACTTTGAGAAAATACCCAAAATGGACCAAGTCCAAAGAGATTTTACACAGTTTACTTAAACCACATTTTTAATTTTATTTTAGTTATTTATTTAGTGTGTGTGTGTGTGTGTGTGTGTGTGTGTGTGTGTGTGTGTGTGTGT